TTTTTTTTTTTTTTTTACTTTTTGTTTCTTTTTCTTTTCTTTTGAGACAGAAACTTACTATGTAGTTCAGGCTGGCCTTGAACTCACTGCATAGCTCAGGCTGGACTCGAACTCATGGTGATCCTCTTGCTTCAGCCTCCCAAGTGCTGAGGTTTATAGGTATGTGCCACCATGCCCATCTTTTGGGGGACATTTTTGGTCCAATCCTAATACCTCCTCTTTTGTCTTTATTTATTTAATTTTTTGGGGTATGGGGATCAAACTTGGGTCCTTGCACTTGTGAGGCAGCTAATGGAACCACTGAGCTAAATCCCCGTCCCTCCTCCTTTGTCTTTAAATTGGCCCATCATTGTTATCCTTTGTAAGTGAAATTGTAAGTAGAATGCAGGAATAAAGTTTGGTGATTTTGCTACATTGTGAAGGATTTGATTAAGAGTAAGACCTGAATGTTCCCAATGCAGTGACTTCCCCAGTGATTTTGTTTGAGTAACCTCAAGTTCTTCAGGAGCCAAGGAACCTATGTTAACTAATGACTAGACTCTGTTACATGTGACAACGCTCCAGAATAGACATAGCTTTAAATGAGGTCACACTATTTCATACCTCAAAGTCCAAGCTGATGTCAAGCTCTGCCCCACAGTCTTAGGGCCCAGCTTCTCACTTGTTGCTCCAGCATCATTTTGGGAGTTTACCAAGGATTCTGTGGTTCAAGAAGGTAATGAACAGATCCATTGTCTAGGTCAGCAGTTGGCAATTGTGTTTCTGTGTGTGTGTGTGTGTGTGTGTGTGTGTGTGTGTGTTTTACTCAGGACTAAGACAGCGCCCGCGCAGTGAGCGGTGGGATTACCAAGGATTCTGTGGTTCAAGAAGGTAATGAACAGATCCATTGTCTAGGTCAGCAGTTGGCAATTGTGTTTCTGTGTGTGTGTGTGTGTGTGTGTGTGTGTGTGTGTGTTTTACTCAGGACTAAGCCAGGGCCTTCGTACTGAGAGTGCTGGGAATATAGCGTGATATGGCTAACTACAAAGGTCCAGCCAGGCAGTAAATATTTGTTGCTTGCAGACCACATGCTTTTGGTCCCAATTACTGAGCTGTGCCGTGGTTGTGCTTGGGCAGCCGCAGATAGTGTAAGCAAATGCGTGCTCTGGTGGTCCAGTAAAGCTATTTGTAAAATCACGGAATGGGCCAGTTTGGCCCATAGGCCATGGCTGGCTGATTCCTTCCGCAGGCAGTAGAGAGGAAGTGGGAGAGCATACTTTACTCTGTACACTCTCCAGAACTTAGTCATGTGGCCACATTAACCTTTGTGAATGCTGGGAAATGACGCTTTTCTCTCAGCAGCCCCGGGCCCAACTAAAATCTCTAGTCCTTGAGGCAAACCAGCCTTCTGTTTCAGTCCTCTCCACCGCCACCTCTGCCCTTTACAGCCGCGGCGCAGACCCATCATGAGCAACCACACAGCCACACACATTCTGAACTTCGCCCTGCGCTCGGTGCTTGGGGAAGCAGATCAGAAAGGCTCACTGGTCGCTCCCGACCGCCTTCGGTTTGACTTCACTGCCAAGGGAGCCATGTCCACCCAACAGATCAAGAAGGCCGAGGAGATGGCTAACGAGATGATCAAGGCAGCCAAGGTGGGTCCGGCTCTGAGTTCACTCCTTCCACTCCATCACATTCTATCATGGAGGCTCCTGGGCCTGCACTCCCGTAAGTAGTCTGTCCTGCACATTGATTTGCTGAAGCTGTGATTCTCAAACTGCTTTTGTAGTGGGCAGAGGTAGTGTTTGGGAGGGAGCACAGGGAGACAGATCCATGTCCCACTCCTCCTTAGGACAGCCAGAGCTCTTCTAGTTATGCCTGCCTCACACACAGTACATCCACGTGAGTTTGGCTCACGGTTTAACAAAAGAGGTGGAAAATCCCCTCTAGTCACCGAGACTCATATGTTTTGGTGTGCTTTTGTTTTTGTTTTTGTTTTTGTTTTTTTTTGCTCCAGCGCCATCCAGGGCTAGTTGATTCAACAGGTGAGTTGTTATTTGGTGTGCTGTTTTAGAAGGCTGAGGGCAAGCAGCAAATAAACATATGAAAAAAATGTTCAAATCACTGGTCATTTAAGAGGTGCAGATGAAAACAACACTGAGATTCCACCTCACCCCAGAAAGACTGGCTGCTATCATGAAATCAACCAATAACAAATCTGGCGGGGTTGTGGGGAGAAAGGAACCCTTCTTCATTGGTGGTGGGAGTACAGATTGGTGTAACCACTGTGGAAATCAGTATGAAGATACCTCAAAGAACTAGGATGAGAGGTCCCATTTGACCCAGCTATCCCTCTGCTGGGTATCTTCCCAAAAGAATTAAAAGAATCATAGCACAGTGATATATGTGTACCCATATGTATACTGGCACAGTTTGTAATAACTAAAACTTGGAAATATCCCAGTTGCCCATCATTGGAGACTGGATAAAGAAGATGTGTTTTTTCTATAAAATGGAGTACTACTCAGCCATAAAAACTAGTCATTCATAGGAAAATGGATGCATATTGAGGCCATACTCTTAAGTGAAATAAGACACACGTGTAAATACTGAATAGTTTCTCTGGTGTTCAAAACTAAAAGTGTAAATAAGATCCAAATTGTATAACTGATGGGCCAGGGATTTAGCTCAGTGGTTCTGCTGCCTGCTTCACAAGCACAAGGTCCTAAGTTTGATCCCTGCTACCAGAAAAAAAAACCTCAAAACAAGAAAAACAATTGTATAACTGATAATGTGAAATAGGAAGAAAGGGGTAAAAGGTATAGAGGAAGTGGAAAGGGTAGGGGAAAGGGAATAAGTTAAAAAATATGAGAAAAGGAAAAAAATGGAAACAAAGTCTTTGTAAATAGGGAAGGGTGGAGGGGGTGAAGGGAGGGCATGGGTATGGGTTAAAAATGAGAACCAAGACCTGTCATATAAAGGTACAAGATCCCAATGATGAATGTAACTGTATACCTAAAAAGTACCAAGAAGCTCAGTTTTTTTAAAAAAAAGGCTGAGGACATATGCTGGGTAGAGCCACAGTTAGGTCCCAGGAGTCCTGCTGCAGGGTCATACTGTCCCTGCCACTTCTTTCTGTGCCCTTGAGGATTTATGCCTGTCTTTTCTTCCTGTCTTCTTTCTGTGGCAGCCTGTCTACACCCAGGACTGTCCCCTGGCAGCAGCCAAAGCCATCCAGGGCCTGCGAGCTGTGTTTGACGAGACCTATCCTGACCCTGTGCGAGTCGTCTCCATTGGGGTTCCGGTGTCCCAGCTGTTGGACGACCCCTCAGGGCCTGCGGGTTCCCTCACTTCCGTGGAGTTCTGTGGGGGAACGTGAGTACTGTGGGGGGAGCAGGAAGAGGTGGGGTCACCTGCCTTGCTAATTTGGCATCACCCTTTGGCCAGACCAACTCTCACACTCCTCTCTCTCTCTGTCTCTCTTTTTTTGCGGTGTTGGAAATGGAATTGTTCATAATAGGTAAGTGCTCTGCCATCCCAAGCCTCAACTCTCATTTTTCTAAGATTGAAATGAAATCCTCAGAAAGTTACTTGTCAGATACCATTGCCAAGACTCCTAGCATCCCAGTGCTCCAGTCAGACCCCTCAGTTGTCTGGTGGTAACTTTTCTTCAGCTTGATGAAATGGCCTTAGGAGGAGGAGAAAAACATCCTAAGCACACTTGCCACAAAAATTGCTTGCTCTTCTCCCCTGGACTGATCCTAACAGGAAGGCTGGCTTGAATTCAGGATTCATCAAAGCCATGGGGTGCAAATGGAGTTCCTGATGTGGTCCTAGACCTCCATCCACTGGTGCCCATTTCCCTTTGCCAGCTTGACCAGCACCTGAGGAAGTGAGCCTGTCGTCTCAGGGCCCTGAGCAGACCCAGTATTAGACCTGGCTCAACCAGCTTGGGACAGTCACTTGCTTCTGCCAGCTTGGATCCCTCTATGGCTCATAGGATCTTAATTGTTTTTGTTGTTGTTGTTGTTGTTGTTGTTGTTTGAGACAGGGACTCACTATGTAGTTGAGACTGACCTGGAACTCACTATGTAGCCCAGGCTGGTCTCAAACTCAGGGATCCTCCTGCCTCAGCCTCCCGAGTGCTGGGATTACAGGCGTGTGCCACCATACACGGCTTAACTGGCTTCCTTTTTTTTGGGGTGCTGGAGATTAAACCTAGGGAAGAACGCTACTACTGGGTTAAATCCCCAGCCCCTTACGGGTTCTTTTTGGGAGGTCATGGTGGCTTGGAAAGTCCCTTGTTCCAAAAGAAACCTGGTGGGAAGAACATCCGTAAGGCCATGGTCAAGCCTTGTCACGGCCTTCTGCAGCCTCGGGCGGGTAGGGAACAGAGGGTGTGTGGAGGGCAGAATAGGGCCTGGGGGATCGAGTTCCAGGCCTCTGCCCAGCTGAATTGGGCCTTCAAGTGAGTGTCAGGTATTCTGCTCAAATTCCTGTTTGCTGACACTATGCATGTCGTAGTTTTCCCCAGTGCTGGGTATTGGACACAGGCACTCACATTAGCCAAGTGCTTTACCACTAAGAGTTGGAAATGATATTTTTGCATATATGATATCACAATAAATAGAAAATGAAGTTCATTCTTGTTACTTATAAAAGGATTTTTAAAGTAATCCTTTTTCGTTTTTATTTATTTTTTTTATTGAGATGATCTTGCTAAATGACTGAGCTGGCCTCTGACTTGAGCTCATCCTACCTTAGCTTCCCAGAATGCTGGGATTAGAGGCATAGCCGTCACGCCTGGCTAAAATTTTGTGATTTTTGCAGTACTGGGAACTGAACCCAGGGCCTCACACATGCTAGGCAAGTGGTCTGCCACTGAGCTACATTCCCAGCCCTAGTATTTTCACCTAGAGAGCATCGACACAGTACGTCCCCAAGTCAGGAACGAGTTCTATTCCGGGAGAACACTCATAAGTGGGATTCATTCATAAGTCCGACCGAGTGAGTCTTACACACCTTTGACACAGGTATACACTGTGTATTGCTTTGTGCTTCCTAGCAGTCCTCTCCACATCACCATGCTTTTCTTCTTTCTTCCGGACATCCTGGGTCCTGACTGAGCACGGTACAGTAAGCACACAGCAGCACAGCTGTGACAATGTCAGACAGACACATGAGCTACTTCTGTGCATCTGTGAGTGTTTGCAGTGCAAGGCATTAGTACCTATGAAAGTTTGCAACTCACGTGTTTGGTAGCTTACGTTCCATCAGGGAACCAAAAACATCACGTGGAGCCTGCCGGCAGGAATACTGGGTGGATGTTAGAGCACCTCCGTGTTTCTCTCATTTGGTTTTCCCAACAGCTGTGTGAGGGAGAATTGTCCTGTTACACGGGAAAGCTGAGGCTCGGAGCCCAGGTTCTCTGACGCTCTTCCCCTTGCACTGCTCCCCTTTCTCTTGCTTGGCCAATGAGATTCCCTTGGCACAGAGGCTTTTCCCACTCTTCCCTGGGGCAGCTGCCCAGGGTTCCTGGGCTGCCTCTTCACTACTGACTCGTGTTCTGCCCTCCAGGCATCTGCGGAACTCAAGTCATGCAGGAGCTTTTGTGATTGTGACGGAAGAAGCTATTGCCAAGGGTATCCGGAGGATTGTTGCTGTCACAGGTGCTGAAGCCCAGAAGGTGAGAGTGGCTGCTGTGGTTGCTGGAAGAGGCCGGGGCACCCAATCTGCGAACCCATACAGTGCGCAGTTCTATGGTCATTACAGTCAGAATGAAAATGCAGACTGTGCCACCCCCAGATGTCTTCTGGTTACCCTGCCTGACAGAGGAAAGGCAGGACTGCACAAGGTTTCCTGACTGGCATGTTTAATCTTTGAAGTATATGAATTGTGCCTCGTACTGTGGGTGGCTTCCGGTGCCCCGCTGGATCTCTACACAATCTGAGCGGTGTGTGCCTTGTACAAGGTGCATGGCATAGAGGGACAGTTGCTCTGGAGGTACCATGTCCTGAGAGGCAGTCGTTTCATGGGGTGAAAGAGCTCTTGACTCGTCACTCCCTGAGCCCGAGTTAGGGTACAGCCCTTGCTGGCCTAGCATGTGAGGAATCTGCTCCTTTCTGTAGCCACAGCTGCCAGCACTTGCTCCCTAAAGGAAAGAAACTCATAGTGTCTTGGGGTTTGCTGCTGCACAAGCTGTTGTCAGCACTCCCACAGCTTTTTACAGCCAGCGCAGGGAGGTCAAAAGTCCCTGCTCAGCGTTCATAGGTCAGACTCTCTCCTCTCAGGCCCTCAGGAAGGCGGACAGCTTGAAGAAATCTCTCTCCACTGTGGAATCCAAAGTGAAGGCCCAGACCGCACCAAACAAGGACATGCAGAGGGAGATCGCTGACCTTGGTGAGGTAGAGGCTCCCCCACTTCCCACCCCCCACTTGTTCCTTCTGCTTGAGGATGGAGATCCCCTCATTCCTGAAGAACTGTCACTGTAGCCAGTCACGTCCTGTTCTCGGGGGAATGGCTTCTGGGTTGATGTCTGTCATGCTGTTCCCTTGCAAAGGGGACCCCTTAGATCCATGAACACAGCTGGAAAGGACCAGGTCTTACGTGAGAGCTAAGCTTTCCCTATGCAGCTCCTTTCTCTCTAGCCCTGCTTGGGACAGCTGCTGTGATCACTACAAAGCAACTGGGGTGACGGCGAGCAATTACTCTTGTTCTCTCCTTTGCCGGACATTTGGTGGGGAGGATCTTGGTTCAAAGGCACAAGGGAAGCCAGGGATTTCGCTCAGCGGTTCTGCCGCCTGCCTTGCAAGTGCAAGGACCGGAGTTGAATCCCCCATACAAAAAAAGAAAGCATGCAAAGACACAATGGGGAGGTGGGCCGGATCCTCAAGTCCTAGCTTCTTGTGGCCTGGACCCACACGTCTTTCATTCTGGTTCTAGGCCTTGGCCACCGCAGTCATTCCCCAGTGGCAGAAAGACGAGCTGCGGGAGACTCTGAAGTCCCTGAAGAAGGTCATGGATGACCTAGACCGTGCCAGCAAAGCTGACGTCCAGAAGCGAGTGAGTTGGGCACTGCTAAAGCTGCAAGGGAGCTGGGAGGGTCTGCCCTGGGCCTCCGCCTGACCCTCTTCTGGACTCCTTCTTACAGGTGCTAGAGAGGACAAAACGGCTCATTGACAGCAACCCCAACCAGCCCCTGGTCATCCTGGAGATGGAGAGCGGTGCCTCAGCCAAGGCAACTGGGGGCTGGGGTCCAGGCGCTGCCCTGCCTGTCACTGACGTCCCCTTGCCTCCCAGCCTCAGCCCTCTGGTGGCTGGTAGGCGGGCATTGTATCTGTGAGCTCTGTGGTCACCTGCGGGCCCACTGTCTAGGGCTGAGGTTAGGCTGAGCCACGGAGAGATGTGGTGCCTGGAGAAAGGAGCGGCTCCTGTGGTGGAGGCAGGTCCCAGAGCCAGTGTGAGCATGTAGCAGGGTCCTGGCTTGTGTCCTTCTCACTTGGGCTCCCAGGGACAGCGCCTACTCTTGGAACGGGTGCAGCAGTGCTCTGCAGGCTGAGCTCTGTAAATTCTCCCTGTGCTGAGCGGGGCCCCTGCCGTAGGGCTGTGGCCTGATACCAAGTCTCCCCACAGGCCTTGAATGAAGCCCTGAAGCTTTTCAAGACTCATTCCCCTGAGACATCTGCCATGCTCTTCACAGTGGACAATGAGGCTGGCAAGATCACGTGCTTGTGTCAGGTGCCCCAGGTCAGGACTGCCTGCAAGCCCCCATGCCGGTGGGAAGCAAAATCGATAGTTTCTTGGTGTTTGGTTCTTCTTCCCTCTATTTGCTGAGCCTGGTTGATGTATGCAGCCCCCATGAGAAAGAGCAAATCTCCTGTCTAGCTGTTTGTCACTTTCTCTGTCACTCCTTACCCTCAGGCCTTTTCTTTGGTGTATATGTTTAACTGTACTGGCTGATACCTGGTTTTGCCACTTTTCCTGGTCATGGCAGTGGCCACTGGCTACTTCCTGCACCTGCTGTAGGGTCTGTCTCTGCCCAGGGCAAGGGTGGGTGTTGGTGGCTCCCTCCTTCCCCTCTCCCAGTCCCACCTTCTGTCCTGACTCCCACTTCTCCTTTCTGTCTTGCAGAATGCAGCCAACCGGGGCCTAAAAGCCAGTGAGTGGGTGCAGCAGGTGTCAGGCCTGATGGACGGCAAAGGCGGGGGCAAGGATGTGTCTGCCCAGGCCACAGGCAAAAACGTGGGCTGCCTGCAGGAGGCACTGCAGCTGGCGACTTCCTTTGCCCAGCTGCACCTGGGAGATGTGAAGAACTGAGGGGAGGGTTGTTCTCCCTGGGAAGATCTCCCTCTCACCCGGATGCATCAGTCCAGCCTGGAGCTCTCCATATGCCACAAGGGCATATGAATTTGGGGACCTCAAACAGCCCCTTCTGTCCTCTAATCCAGCAGTAACTGGATCCTGCCTGGGAGCTACCCTGTGACTCTGTCCCTTCACATTACTGCTGAGCCCAACACATCGGCACCATCTGTCCAAAACCACTACCCCACGATTCCTGTTTAACATCGCCATGCTCGTGTCTATAGAAAACATCTCTGACCTGAAACTTCTGGGTCTGCAAAAGGAGGCCGTTTTGCCTCAGAATAAAAGGACCATGTGCAATACATGAGGACATTGTTAACCCTGTCCCCTCTCCTCTGGGGTGTCGCCTGACAGGCCACATGGTCTGGGTGGCTGCAGAACACATGCTGTGCTCATCAAGTCCAGCCCCGGACACCCAAGATCTGGCAGTGGCCCCCAGGGTTGCTTTCAGACACCTGTGGAGTTGGAGGCAGACTAGGTGGGGTGAGATGGACAGAGGCATTCATAATTCAGTAGAAATGATTCATTGGGTTACTCGAAGCAAGGAAGCCCCTTAGAGCCCCGAGGGGAACTCCATGTCTTAGATCTGAGGCCCTCCTCTCCTCCTCTTGAAGCTGCTGATGAGAGATCAGGTGGTCTCATAGGTTTTCAGGGTACAGGTATTGCCTCCCCCACTCCGGTGCCTTCCCCCTCCTGTTTCCTTGATGGTCAGGATCAAGACAGGAGTCTAGTCTGTCCAAGTCTAAAGCCAGGGTTTGAAATCTGCAAGAGAAGGAAATTCTGAATATATGGCTGGCCCTGGGAGCCAGGTTCACTCTCAGCCTTGGGAGGAGCACATCTATGCTGGGGTGAGGGGCCCCCTCACTTGGGGCAGGTTCAAGAAGTATGTGCCAGGTAAGGAGAGTTGGGTAGAGGCAGGAAGATGATTACAGACCAGTGTGGTAGCACACACCTGTAATCGTAGCACTTGGGAGGCTGAGGTCGAAGGACTACAGGAAGTTGGAGGCCAAGCCTGGGCTGTACAGTAAGTTCAAGGCCAGCCTGAATTCTCAGGAAAAGAAAAAATCAAAGATGACTTCACATTGCAGCGTCCTGTGCAGGGAAACATTCCATCCATCCGTTCAAGTGTTCATTGCCGCTGGGCCACTGGGAAAGGGCTTTCTTTGACAAGGCGGTCAAGTGTAAGTCACACAAGTACAAAATTGAAATAATTACAGCCTTCACAGGTGAAAGGAAGAAGATCTACGTCCTGTGATGGGCCTAACCTGGGAGGCTAGAGGTTGGCTGGCCCGTCCAAGTCCCACAAGGGCCATCAGCGTCCAGACTGCAGCCCCGGGACTCAGAGGGTTTCGCTGTTCTCCCTCCAGGCCGGCAGGGGGTGGTGTGGGCCCGCCTTCCTGCAGCTATCCCGCCAGCCCTCGCGCAGGCGCGCGTCTTTAAGCGGGCGGAAGAGTTCGCACGAGGTAGGGCAACGGGCGG